AGGTGAACTGAGGGGGCAGGGGAGATGAATTAGAGCTTATTTGATTTTACAGTAAAATTAAATGAACTGTTAAACTAGAACTCTCACATGAGTAAAGGAGGGAGATGGTGCAGAGAAAGTGGTTTGGGCAGCATAAGAGAAGTAAGGTAAAGGTAAAGGTTCTCCTTGACAATTTTTGTCCAGTCGTGTCCGACTCTAGGGGGCAGCACTCATCCCGCTCTTCAAGCCATAGAGCCAGCGTTTTGTCCGAAGACAATCTTTCCATGGTCACATGGCCAGTGTGATTTAGACACGGAACGCTGTTTACCTTCCCACCGAAGTGGTCCCTATTTATCTACTCGCATTTGCATGCTTTCGAACCGCTAGGTTGGCGGGAGCTGGGACAAGCGACGGGCGCTCACTCCGTCGCGTGGATTCGATCTTACGACTGCTTGGTCTTCTGACCCTGCAGCACAGGCTTCTGCGGTTTAGCCCACAGCGCCACCACGTCCCCAATAAGAGAAGTACTGTTACACATTTTTCAACTGGACTGAATGTCAGTGTGATGATTCCATAGCAGTGATGAAGTTTACCCAGCAACATTGGACTGACGGGCGACTGAGATGAGAACCAATCAGATGGCGCAGCAAAAGATATATTTGAAAGTAAGAAGAGGAGAGAAAAGAGAGTTATGTTGAGCAGTTGGCTGAAGCAGTTGGTTTGATGATTAGTTGCCTGAAGTATAAGATCCAAATTGTAACCACACGCATGAGTATCCTTTGTGTAACCAAAATGCTGTTAACAGAATGACAATTTGGTTCACATGAAAACTCCAATCCGTTTTCATTATGCAGTGGTGCCTCGCTTTACGATTGCCCCGCATTATGACAAATCCGCTTTAGGATGATAGGTTTGCGATCGCAATTGCGATTGCAAAACGATGATCTAAATAGGGGAATTTCGCTTTGTGACGATCGGTTCCCTCTTCAGGAACCGATTCTTCACAAAACAATGTTTCTCTACCAGCTGATCAGCGGTTTCAAAATGGCCACCGGGTAATTAAAATGGCTCCCCGCTGTGTTTAGGGACCACTGTATGGAGGATCTCCACTGGACAGTGAGTTTTTACCCCATTGGAACACATTGAATGGGTTTCAATGTGTTTCAATGTTGTTGTTTTTTCGCTTTACAATGTTTTCGCTTAACGGAGATTTTCCTGGAACGTTATCGTCGTTAAGCAAGGCACCACTGTATTAGGCTGTAAGCAAGCTCAGAAAAAGAAAAGAGCAGGTTAAAAGTTAAAAAGCAGACTGGATTGACAGTCAGTAATCCTACCAAAAGGTCAGGCCATCCCATGGTTTTCTGACCCAGTTTCTAGAGGCAGAAAGACCTCTGTCCTCCCTCTTCCAGTCTCTCCTTTAAAGACCCAATGTCTGAGAGGAGACCCTTCATGCTAATCAGCCACTTGCTCGTTGGATGGGAAGCTCACACTGAGGAATTCCACACCCCTGAAGGTCTGCCCGTGGAAGGGGCTGCCTCACACTGCCCACTGGTAGGGCTGGCCCTCAGCAAGCTGGAGGGCAAACATCCATGTTGAAGGGCAGTGACAGTGGATCTGAAACACCTTTGCTATGTTTCACTTAGTGTGATGTTCCTAGGAGTAGGTGACCCATGCCATGCCAGCCCCTTCACATACAGTGGTGTTCTCAGATGCCAGCTTCCTCTTGCCAACACTAAACATCTGGCCTGATTCCCTAACTCCAGTCCTCTTTGCTGCAGACTTCAATCCAAATAGAAGATTGCTTCAGGCTGTTCTGGGCCATCCTGGCTAATCCACGACAAGGGCAATCATTAAGTGAGTGTTGCACTCTTTACTAAAAAAAAAATAAAACTAGACATTGGATTGATGGAGATTGATGATCTGCAAAGATCCACATGGCAGCCGTCTGAAGTGGATGCCTCCTGAAAAGCCATGCCCCTTCACCCTCCTGTCAAAGGCAGGCCAAGTGAGTTGGAGATGGAGGGAGGGGCATCAACTCTTCAAGATTTAACCCTGCAAGGGAAGGATGATTATGGGAAGACACACCAGCAGAGTCTAGTTCTTTCTGGCGTGCACTTGTTGGGCCAAAACTGTGTTGCTCTCTCTGTCTGAGTGAGCAGAAAGGGCCAGAAGGACAAATCTACCCAGAAGAACTTCAAGCTTCACTAAGCAGCACAGATGAAGGTCTTTCCATTTCAGGTTTAGCAAACACAGTTGTTGTTTAGTCATTTAGTCATGTCCAACTCTTCATGCCCCCATGGACCAGAGCACGCCAGGCCCTCCTGTCTTCCACTGCCTCCCGGAGTTTGGTCAAATTCATGTTGATAGTTTCGATGACCCTGTCCAACCATCTCGTCCTCTGCCATCCCCTTCTTCTCTTGCCTTCACTCTTTCCCAACATCGCGAGCCTGAACTTCATGATCTGTCCTCCCAGTGAGCACTCAGGTTTGATTTCCTTTAGAATGGATAGGTCCTTTAGAGCAGTGGTCCCCAACCTTGGGCCTCCAGATGTTCTTGGACTTCAGCTCCCAGAAATCCTGGCCAGCAGAGGTGATGGTGAAAGCTTCTGGGAGTTGAAGTCCAAGAACATCTGGATGCCCAAGGTTGGGGACCACTGCTTTAGAATGGATAGGTTGATTTCCTTTAGAATGGAAATCACAGTAGGACTCCCATATCCATGTGATCAGTATCTGCAGCTTCACATAATCACAGTCTGAAAATATTAAAAATATTAAAAGAAAAAAAATTATTGGAATTAAACACTACAGAGGGTCAGAGACTGTGCTATGAATACTTGTTAGTGAAGAATATACATATAGCATGATCTCTGGCACAATCTAGTGGCCAGTATGATAGTTCACGGTTCTGGTGATACTGTTTGTCTCAAGAGACACAGAGGCGGAGGCAGGCTGGGTCACTGTTGGCTGTGAACGGATACCTTGGGAAGACGGAAAAGCAAAAGACCATGAGTTTCACACATTTTCTATGCTCTGAAATGCCACAAAATGTTAGGTTTGTGAAGCAAATACATAATAAAAACCAGTGTGAAGCAGCAAAGTGGGAAGCTCGCTCTGCACATCATAACCTAAGAAGAAGCTGAGAAGAACAAGGAACATCAGAGCCCAGGCCATGGCGAGCTCTCTGCTGGTGTCTGACTTTGCTTCAGGAAGTTCTGGGTGGAGTCCTCGTCTCTTTCTTCAAATGCTCCAGGACCACAGAACAGCTGTTTCATGCAGATGTGGTCTCTGCCCATTGGACATGTAATAACTTACATATCTACTTGTTTTTGTTATCACCATGCCAATGAAGACAAATGTATATAAAAACGGTAGGAAAATTAAATAATATTAGGAAAATGCCCATTTATGAAGCTGGTCGCTTCCATTGAGAGTTCAAGCATTAGCTGTAATTATCTCACATCTTCTTCCTTTCCATCTTTTTGGAAAAGTGACATGGCCCGTGGACTAAATACACAAATGGCCTTACTGACAAGTATCAGCTGGAGAAAGGCAGCATATAAAACAAGCAAGCAAGCAAGCAAGCAGGGTAGTGAAAAGCTCTGGGACCACTCATGCATTGGCCAAGAGCCAGCGGAAGAGACTGGAGATGAGACTGGATTAAAGCTGATTAAGGTTATATATCAGGGGGACTAAATGTCCAACAGATTGTTAGGAAATGGAATTCCATTGTACCATGTTTAGAATTCAAGATAACAAGAGCAGTATTTGGAATCAAGAGTATTCACTATGTGGTGACCCTGAACTCAAGGGATCTCCAAAAAGGCATGGGACAACTGGAGAGCTTCACTGATCTTGGAAGACTTTACAGCAGTGATCCCCAACCTTGGGCCTCCAGATGTTCTTGAACTACAATTCCCAGAAGCCTTCACCACCACCTCTGCTGGCCAGGATTTCTGGGAGTTGAAGTCCAAGAACACCTCGAGGCCCAAGGTTGGGGACCACTGCTTTACAGGACAAGGAAAGGGGCCCTCCAGTTCTTGCCCACTTCCTCCAACTCTTCCAGGGGCAGAGGGCAATCCTTCAGCCTCAATCTACCAGACAGAGACCAACAGCTCCCCCTACAGATCAAAGGCAGAAGCAGGGGCACCCTGAAGCTCCAACTAACATAGGGTATCAATCATCAATTGTCTTTTCTTTTCAGATGAGGATGGGGAGAGGCCCAGTTCCAATCCTTGCTCACCAAAGGGGCAGGAAATGTTACTCCGTTCCTGCAAAGTTCCCACACTGGCAATAACTCCGTGGATGAACAAAAACAGGTCATTTCCACATAGAAACCATGTTGTTCGGGGCAATTCTATCTCAATAGGTTCTATGCCACCTTGAAAGAAGGCTTGTTGTTTTGAACTGGAGTAGTTCCATGTTGTCTTTTCTGGCTGCCTGGCAGCACCTCAGGAAATGCTGAAGGAGTCTCAGATATATTCCCATGGAATGGGAAATGGTCATGAGCAGAAGGTTACACTGGTGCCATTCTGCCAGGCTCTTGAAAGAGGGATAGAGTGCTGAAGTTTGTTCTCAGCCACTGCATGTGTTGAAGAAGGGAAGAAAGTCCAACCCCAAATTCTACCCAGTTATTGGGACAGAAGAAGGTCCTGCTGGATTAGGCCAAGGCATACCAGCCCAGTATTTCAGTTGCTACAGTGAACAACCAGTTGCCCCTGCAGGAAGCCCACGAGCAGAACACAAGCATAAGGTCACCCACTTTATAGTGAATTGCAACTGGACACCAAAGGAAAGCTGCTTCTGTTTGTGGGGGAAGAAAGAGCTCTATCACGATTGGAAGCCTCCATATTGCCATGCAGGAATGGATGCCATAGTATTGGGGACCATTATTTTATGAACAGCAAGTCTGAACTGCTTGAGAATGTTGCCCTTTTGTGAAAAAAAGAAACATCCCATTAAGAGGTAATGAAGTGCATCAAGTTTTAAACTGTCTTCTTTCTAAACAGGAAGTCTGAAGGTTTTTGTCTCAGTTCCCCATCAGGCTGTACCACCGTGGACCACGCTAGCAGTGCTAGACCAGACATGGCAGTAATAAACGGCCTTGTCTCCGGCCTCAACATCGGTGATGGTTAGAGATCCGGTGTTCCCTAAAGAGGAGGCAGTGAACCGGTAGGGGATCCCTTCTCCTCTGCTGCAGCCGTTGCAGTGCACAAAACGAGGGGCCTGCCCAGGTTTCTGTTGAATCCAGTGAACATCGCTGTTCCAGCTGCCACTGCCTTTCAAACAGTTAAGGGTCGTTGTTTGTCCAGGAGACACCGACTGGGAGGCAGGCTGAGTCAGTGTTGGCTGTGAATCGACACCTTGACAAAAAACAAAGAGAGGAGGCAAAATTATACCTGATAATCTTGAGTGTAAATATATGCAATCTGCTACGCTTCTGTTAAATTCTATCTTGACCTTTAAATTCTCATAAAGTTAGCTCTTCACTTCGTTACCTGCAAAGGAACCGAGAAATGTAAAGAAAAGCAGAAGCCAGGCCATCCTGATGAGTCAAAACAATGTCTGAATTTCTGAAGCTGAAAACTCTGCCTGGCATCTTGTTTTGCTCCTTCCTTAAAAATACACAGAACTGGAAAATGGCCCCTTTATGCAAATTGATCTTCCACTCATTGGCCACTACAGTCCATCCTGTCTCTTGCGGAGATATTTGACATGAGAGCAAAAAGAAATGGGGCAGCCCTGAGTATCCTCCAGGAAGGGCTTCTTGAAGAACTATTGAGATCCATCATCCCTGTTTAGCCTGGCAACAGCCATGGAGGGAGAGCTCAGCACCACAGAAAGAAGGCCAGAGAGGAAGATGGGGCTCAAAGTAGAAGCTCTGCAACTTTTTGGGCCACACACCACATCAGGACCTTCCATATTCTTTCCACAAATCTGCAAACCACATTATTTGAGGCTTTACGCACACTAAGTTTGCCAATCTTTGATACGAATCAACCCTCAGGTGTTCCTCTGAAATGCGTGAGAGCTGAAATTTTCAGCTCAAAAGATTGAATGCTTGAACACCTTCCTAAGAACCCTGAGGACCTTGATAGACCTCGAGGCAAACTCAAAAGCTGGTGTTTGTCCCTGCTGAGATTCTCCCCTTGAGGGTTTATTTACAGAGTTACCCTGATAAAGATTCTGCACCTTCTGCAATTACTTCTCTGAATATATTCTAAGGTGTTCCCCCTCCCATGTCAAGTAGATCAATCTCTCCTTTTTTTTCTTCTTTTCTTTATGATCCACAGGGTACATTTCAGCACCATAGTTCTAATATGATGATGATCATGATATGCACACAGATCTATGTGTGCAAGAGCGTTTCTATCTAGTGTTTCTAGATTTGATTCCGGGAACAAGAAGACACATATGAGAAGACTACACAGAGAAAAGGACTACACCCTACTACAAACCAAGATGCCTGCTGTGTGCTCTAACATTTATTCTGGAAACATGCTTACTGAACGTAACAATGTCAAACTCAACATCAAGGGCATTTTTACCTGTTCCTCTGCCAATGTTATCTACACCATCTTTTGACAATAATACCCCTCTGCACCCTCTATAGGACAAACATCATAATCTCTGTGCAAAATAGTGAAAGCGTACAGAGCAGACATCAGGGATGGCAGAAATCTATTTCAAATCGTTTTACTTGATCTGACATTCTGCAAAATATCTGAAAGTTGCCATTCTGGGGAAGAAAAATGTCAGGGCAAGATTCCAGAGAGAGAGAAATAACTGAGATAAAATATATAAGTATGTTTAAAGCCCATCTCAGTGGACTCAATGTAAGTCAAGGTTTCTTAGGCCATTATCAAATGTAAAACATTGCAATAATTGTGTTGTATCTCCTCAGCTATATTCTCTTCCTAACTAATCAATGCCACTTTACAAGCCCCATTGGTGATTAGAGATTGTTGTTGTTCCTGCTTGCTATCTGTAGCCTGAGATGAATTTAGTCACCAATCTTATGTCATTGATTACAGAAAATTGCTTCCTGGGAGGAGAACTGAACATCAAAGGTCTCAAAGGTTATGCCGAATGTGAAATGCCATCTTATCAACAACTCATGCCCAGGAAACACATACTCTCTTTGTTTCAGGACCATGTAAAATGTATAAATCTTTGCCATGTTGTCCCACTCTTCAAGGTGCTGCAGTGCTTTTGTCTTCTTTGTTTTCTATTTTCTTTCATTTGAGGCACAATTGCAATTGGCTACCTCTTCGACAATTGCCCATTCTGTTCACTTTCCCCTTGGGTAGAGATAATGAAGGCGAAACATAGCCCAGGCCATGGGGAGATTTGCTTGAAAAAGTAACAGGGTGGGACAACCTCCTTCCTCACTTAATTCTGCATGATTTCAGAACTGATTTTTTATATAAACATCTTTCTGCCTTTGGATGAGAGCCTGGAATGCCCCACATTGCTGAAAATAACAATTTTTGCTAGACAAATAAGTACTGTATTGATTAAATCATGGGCCACATTTTATTAATAATCATTCTGAAGAGATATTTGCCAGTCAGTTAGCAAAGGAGGGTTTGCAGTAGTCCAGAAACAGATGAATCTGGCATCATATGGGTGAGTCCACCAGCCCCAGGTTCTTGCGGTCTTAATGACAGCAGAAACCCAGCTGGTCGCTATTGAAACACCCCTAGACGTCAAGCCATCTTCAATCAATGACTGTTAGTCTGGAACTGGCCCAGCACATCTTTCCCACCTAGGTGCTGAATCACACAATTCATAGCCCTGGGAAGTCCGATGCGCTGGTAGCTTACGTGATGTTAAAATTGGGACTCGCCCAGAAATACCTGTTTTTCCACACTACCTGCCAGATGTGCAGCTTTCCACCCTTCCTGTATGAAAATTTTAATTCTCTCAAATGTAAAAAGCACAGAACAGCTATACACCAACTGGAGAAGAATCAACATCATACAAGCTGCAAGAAGCACAGGAAGTAAACGGTCCCTTGTCTCATCATCCTGAGTCGGGATGAGGAACAAGGAAGTCCCACAGATTAAAACTGGGGGCAGTTTCCTCTCCTTTTTTCGCCTTTTTATTGTATGGACTATTGGAGAGATTTGGGCCCATTTCCTTTATTATTGCCTGGAGTGCATTGCCCTTTACCTGGTGGACTACTGCCTGTGCTACTTGATCAGACTAGCATTCTTTTTCAAATCTTGAAAGAAAAGTTGAAAAATGGAATGAAAGAGAGAAAGTCCTCTTAGGTGGACATTTATTGCTGAAATGGTTAAAATCTGCACCTGATAGACCAAAACATAACTCTCCATGATTTTACTGAAGAACATTAGACTTTTCTTAATTCAGCACATAGAAGTGAGGAACACCTTCAGCATCTGGGATAGCTAAATTATAAGAACTGTGACAACAGCAACCCAACATCTGACAGCTAAAAGGCAGAAGAGTTGGCCTTGCACAACTGGCCAAGGCCTATGCTACACAAAACAACAAAAAATGTGGGGGGGGGGAGAAATGGAGATTGTGGATAAAACCAACAACCAGAAAAAGGCTAGCATTGAAAGAAATGTTGGTAAGAATCTTTAAGGGGTATACAGTGGTGCCTCGCATTACGAGCGCTCCGTTGAAGGTGATCACAAAACAATGTTTCCTATGGGGAATTTCGCTTTGCGATGATCTGTTCTCTGCTTCGTGAACCGATTCTCGCAAAGCAATGATTTTCGGCCAGCTGATCGGCAATTTCAAAATGGCCGCCGGGTAAAAAACATGGCTCCCCACTCTTTTCTGGGACAGATTCTTTGCTGCACAGGCAGCAAAAATGGCCGCGCTATGGAGGATCTTCGCTGGACGGTGAGTTTCAAGCCCCTAGGAACGCATTAATTGGGTTTTAATGCGTTTCTATGGGCTTTTAAATTTCGCATTACGACGTTTTCGTTCTACAGCGATTTCGCTGGAATGAATTAACATTGTTAAGCGAGGCACCACTGTATTCCAAATCACATGAATGCATGCAATCTTCAATAAAAGATTCCCTGTTTCATGCCACCACAATAACTCTCCCATGGCTTTTTACTTTGCCATGGTATAGGTTTGGTCTACAATGCCTGGTTGACACCTGCTCTCTCATTATGATCTACAACAGTGGTCCTCAACCTTGGGCCTCCAGATGTTCTTGGACTACAACTCCCAGAAGCCTACACCAACCACCTCTTCTGGCCAGGATTTCTGGGAGTTGAAGTCCAAGAACACCTGGAGGCCCAAGGTTGAGGACCACTGATCTACAACACACTGACAATGTAGGAGACATAAAGGGGGACAGTCCTGAGGTGGAAGTCGGAGGTACTGGAGCATGTGTTGTGATTCTGTTTCTCTTCCCTAGAGAGAAGAGGGAAGGTTTTTTGTCTCAGTTCCCCATTCGGTTGTGCCACTGTGAAACCCAGCACCGTACCAAGCACCACAGTAATAAACTCCCTCATCTCCAGCCTGGACATCAGTGATTGTTAAATAGCCAGTGTTCCCTGAGGCTGAGCCACTGAATCGATCCGGGATCCCTTCTCCCCGGATGCTGGAACCGTACAGCACAAAGCGAAGGGCTTCTCCAGATTTCTGCTGATGCCAGTGGAAGGGGTTCCAGCTATCGCCACTGCTTCTGGTGCAGGAAAGTTTCACTGTTTGTCCCAGAGACACAGAGGCAGAGGCAGGCTGAGTCACGCTTGCCTGTGAACTGACCCCTTGGAAGGTGGAGAAACAAAAACAAACCCCACATCATTTAGATACACTGTCTATGCCTTCAAGAACTACAGAAAAGGCTCTTACGATAAAGACATAAAATGCAAGCAGGTGTGTAAGGGGAGAGTGTAATGTTTGTTCTGCATGACCTTACCTGAGCAGGAACTAAGAAGGACAAGGAGAAGTAGCCCCTGGACCATGGTAAGATCCATGGAGACGTTGTACTCGCTCATAAAAGTCACTAGCTCGGGGCCTTGATTTCCTTCCTTAAATATCCCAGGGTCACAGAGCAGCTGTTTCATGCAAATATGTTTTCTGCTCATTGGCCACACAAGAATCTATGTATCTACCTACTTTGTTATCACTATGCTAATTAAGATCAATATACATAAATAAGATTAGAAAATTAAATAATGCGGTTCTTCCTGACATGGTTAATGAACTAAACAATCCAGTGAACAGACTGATAATATTCTTGTTATGTTCCGTCAAGCTGAAACTGACTTACAGCAACCCAAATAGGGCTCTCAATGGGTACTCATTTTACCAGCTTCGGAAGGATGGAAGACTGAGTCAATCTTGAGCCAACTATCTGAGCCTGTTGGGACTGAATTGAGGTCGTGAGCAGAGTCTTGATTGCAGTACTGCAGTTTAACCACTCTGCCACATAGCTCTGATCAATGTGAATGGGCATGAAAGCTGGACAGTGAAGAAAGCTGCTGGGGGGGAGGAATCATTTGTTTGAAATGTGGCGTTGGAGAAGAACATTTTGTATAGCCCAGATTGCCAGAAAAATGAACTAGTGAACCCTAGATCCAATCAAGTCTGAACTATCTCTGGAAACAAAAATATTGAAACCGAGGTGCATCATGAGAAGGCAGGATTCTCTGGGAAAGACAGTAATGCTAGATAAGGTGGAAGGCAGCAGGAAAAGAGGAAGGCCAAATATGAGATGGACTTACTCCCTAAGGGAAGCTACAGGCAAGATCTGAGCAGGTCTGTTGCAGACCAGGACATTTTGGAGATTGCTCATTGATATGGTCGCCATCAGTTGGGTCACCATTTAATGGCACATAACAACAACAATAGCAGCAACGTGCAGATGATTAATCATACAGTGGTGCCCTGCATGACAACAATAATCTATCCCGTGAAAATCGCTGTTTAGCAAAATCGTCATCATGCGAAAATGCTTTCCCCATTGGAATGCATTGAAACCCGGTTTAATGCATTCCAATGGGGAAAATACCTCGTCATCCAGAGAAGATCGCCCATAGGGAAGCCATTTTGTGAGCGCCAATCAGCTGTAAAAATGGCTGCCCTGCGAAGCATGGGTCCGGAAAACACAGGGCAGCCATTTTGCAGAGCCGAAAAAAATCGTCGACTTGTGAACAAACGGTTTGCAAAGCACGGACCTAATCAATGTCCAGCGAAAATCCCCCATAGGAATTACTGTTTTGCGAATAGCTATAGCAATAACAAAAAGTCATCATTATGCAGATTCGTCATTTAGCAAGGTCGTCATTTAGCGAGGTACCACTGTACCTATGCATGAACTGGGCCTAACTGCAGGTGTGTATGGAGTGGGGTTGGTCTGACAATAGACATTAGTGTTTTCATAAAGGTTTTTGTCTCAGTTCCCCATCAGAATTAGCCACTGTGATACATGCTGCTATGCCAAATGCCACAGTAATAAGTAGCCTCATCTTCAGCTTGAGCTCCTGTGATCACTAAATTCCAGAGGTTTTTGGAGGAATCTGGAGAGACGCTGAATCTCTCGGGGATCCCGGACCCCCTGCCTTGGCTACTGCTGGTGTAATAGTGGTATAGAAGTCGAATGACCTTGTCTGATTTCTGCTGGTACCAGCCAACCCTGTAGCTGCCGATGTTGCCAGAAGACAAGGCACAGAAGAGGCGCACTGTGTCCCCTGCGGAAAAGGATGCAGAGGGGCTCTGAGTCAGCACCGACTGTGAGGAGGAACCTGTGGGTAGATAAAAGCCATAAGGGAAAATAAATTTGATGTATGTATAAATACATATTTGCAGTACAACCTTTTTGCCAGTTGCTAAATCTCAGCACCAAGGTGAGTCTTGAAGTTTGGGCTGCCTTGATTACCTGAGGGGCAGGTGGAGACCAGGAGGAAGGCCAGACTCCAGGCCATGGGGAGGAATCTAGAGGCACCATCCATGGTGAGTGAGGTGGTCTGTTCAGTCTGTGGAGGGCTCCCGGGCTCCCTCCTTATAGAGGAACCAAGGGCCTCCCCTCAAGTGACATCGCACCAGACTCCACCCCTTGTGAGGGAAATGCTACCTCTATAAAGCAACCCAGAGTGTCACTTCCTCCAGAACACACAAAAAGGAGCCAAGAAAGGAAGGAGACTCTTGGATCGGGGCCTCAGATCAAATGACCCATTGACAACTCTCACATGGAAAAGATCACTCACTAGGATTGCAGTCACACACTGGACACACATTTACATTGGGTTAGTCCACAATGAGGTCAATAGGACTTGGGCACATATATTGTGTACCTCAGTATATTAGGAATTAAGGTACACAAGTTTCCAGAGAGTGGGCCTTCATTCTTCAGCACGCACAATTTAGCATCAGGATCCATGGTTTTCCTACGTTGTGAGAGCTCTAATGAGGTTTTGTTCACATACCTTAATCTTAAAAAGGTAAAGGTTCCCCTTGACAATTTTTGTCCAGTCGTGTTCAACTCTAGGGGGCGGTGCTCATCCCCGTTTCCAAGCCATAGAGCCAGCGTTTGTCCGAAGACAATCTTCCGTGGTCACATGGCCAGTGCGACTTAGACACGAAACGCTGTTACCTTCCCACCGAGGAGGTCCCTATTTATCTACTCTCATTCTGCATACTTTCGAACCGCTAGGTTGGTGGGAGCTGAGACAAGCGACGGGTGCTCACTCCGTTGCGTGGATTCGATCTTACGACTGCTGGTCTTCTGACCCTGCAGCACAGGCTTCTGCAGTTTAGCCCACAGTGCTACCACGTACCTTAATCTAATAATCTTAGAAATGCAACTGTGGAAAAGGCCCTATGGATCACGCAGTCCAGCCACTGTCAAGAAGACGCAGCAGGGAAACCTTGATCCAGCAAGTGAGCCAGGGAGCACCTCCCTGATCCAGTTCCATTCTCTATGGGGAAAAGTGGGGTGTCTGCAGTTGAGGGGTTCCTTCACATACTTCTTCCACACGTACAGCATAAGAACCCTACTCAAATGGAGATCCCACACGTAAACACGAACCTTTCAGCTACAGACAACTTCTCAGAATGGAAAAAGGGATCGGCTAGATCCTCCCTTCCTCACATGTAGGAAAAACCAGGATGACTACACCTGGATAAGGGTACAGTGCAGTGGATGGAGTGTTGCTGTTATGAGACTTGATTTCAAATCCCTGCTTAGCCATGGAAACCCACTGGGGTGGGGGCAATGGGGAACCATCCCTTCAGCATCTCAGAGCTCAGTCCCACAGACCGTAAGAACTGCTGTTGTGTCATTTTGTTTTAAATACACTTTATAATCATGTGCCTGTGATGTGATTATGAATCGCTTTCGGCGTTCCCACTGCCTGTCAGCTTAGCTGTGTGGGGGGGCACCCTCTCTTCTCTGCAGGAGGCGACCCCCCGTCTCAAAACTCAGTTAGGGAAGACCAGAAGTGACTGGACAACCCACAGCAACAAGTTTAAAAGGGACCCATGACAGGCAGGATCATACACACAGAAGGCCAACGTTATTTTTCCAAAGGGAGAGAAATGACATGTTTTTAATCCCTTTCAGAAACGAAACTCTTTGTGAGCATGTTTTTCAATACGCAAGGGGATAAGATGTACAGAATTAAGTCTGTGATGTACATATGGTAGAATATACCAGAGGGGCAGGATATAAATCGAACCAATAAATAAATAAATAAATAAATATAATGTTTGGTTCTCCTCTCAGCCCCTGATGGTATCTCTCTAGGGTTTCCTTCCCAAGCCTCCCTTGGGAATGTTGTGGACAGATCCTGGTGCCATTGAAGATACTGCTTGCAAAGCAAGTACTCCAACACTGAAGTGTCTCCATCCCAGCTCAAACCCTACTTTCCAAGAAACAGGTCTAAAAATATGTGGTCAAAGCATTTTTCATTCATTAGATTTCTCCAGGTGTTTTGCAAAAATGTCCTGGTCTGGTGAATGAAGAGGCTGAATGAAAAGGAGAGAGGAAGTGTGCTCTCCTCCATCTCCCTCTTCAAGGAAGGAAGCAAAGAAGGGGTATAAAAAACCTTTCACAACGTGCAGCTTCTCACCTGCCGAGACGAAGGGAAAAGCTGAAATCAGGCCAGTGTTTCACCCATTGCTTTGCCTTTGGTGCAGCCAGCATATCAACGTGTCCCTAAGCAGGAAATTGGTGGTTTTGTGGGCCAATGGCTTCACCTGCTGGCCATACCTTGTAAAGCAGAAATCACAAAGAAGCAGAGCTCAGAACGAACAATTTTTGTTGTTGTTTAATCATTAAGTCCTGTCCAACTCTTCGTGACCCCCATGGACCAGAGCACGCCAGGCCCTCCTGTTTTCTGCTGCCCCCCGAAGTTTGGTCAAATTCAGGTTGGTCGCTTCGGTGACCCTGTCCAGCCATCTCGTCCTCTGTTGTCTCTTTCTCCTCTTGCCTTCACACTTTCTCAACATCAGGGTCTTTTCCAGGGAGTCCTCTCTGTTACATACAGCACTGATGTTACCTGTCTGTCATGGGTTTGGAGGGAAAGTTCCATCCTATGGGGAGTGGAAGGCGGGACATCAGGAGGAGGGGCTGTACTGTATATATATGTGGAGCTTGTGTGGAGAAGGGGAAGCTGAGGAAGAGAAGCTGGGAAGAAGAAGCTGGTGTGGGAGTCTGTGTGTCAGACAGGGTACTACTGTGTGTCAGTCAGTACCTACCTGATAGGTTCAGGTGTCTGTATGGTTAGCCAGAACTGATAGGTTCAGGGTCTGTGCTTTATTTAAAGGTGTTCTGTGTGAACCAAACTGGTGTATGTATGATTGAGACTAAGCCACGTTACTGTATCTTATTCACCTGATCATTTTATTTTCCCTGTGTGTTATTTAAATAAACCTTATTCCTTTGTTTGTTGAAAATCCATTCCTGGTCTGTGTGACTCCTTACAGGGAATGGTTGGTGGCAGCTTAGTGAAACTGTGGCATATCCCAGTAGGTCTGGGGTTGTCACACTCTCTTCTCATGAGATGGCAAAAGTATTGGAGCCTCAGCTTCAGGATCTGTCCTTAGAATGGATAGGTTTGTTCTCCTTGCAATCCAGGGGACTCTCAAGAGGAGCAATTTAGTTTCATACAATAAGTTACAAGGGCAGGCAAGTCTATCCTTGCAGGAGCAAAAATACTCCACTATAGCTAGAAATAGAATTCTCTAATTACTTTTTAAATTTACTCCTTAAGAGTATTTACAAACAGTTTTAGAAATTTTCTGATATGAATTTTCCAAGCTTAATACAATTCATTTGTTATTCGTAAGATACCATCAGGTAACAGAAAAGATACAAACAACTTACAGGAGGTTTTGGAGATTGTTCATTCATAAGGTTGCCATGGGTCAGAGGTGACTTGATGGCACATAAGAACAAATCCACATAACATTTGGCATATTTTGGGAATACTGTGTGTAAGAATCAGAATCAGAAATCTTTACAATCTGTTTGTGGTCCTTGGTGTCTGGCTGTTTCTGTGATTTCTAGTCCAACAAACGAATTTCCCAAGCATTGCTAAAGACATACAATGGTGTCCCACATAAGAGGCGCCCCATTTAACGACGAATCCGCATAGCGACGCGTTTTTTACAATCGCTAATGCGATTGCATTGCGATGTTTTAAATGGTAAAACATTGCTTTGCGACAATTGGTAAACTGTTTTGCTTACCGATTTTCACACAGTGATGTTTTTTTAAACAACTGATCAGCGGTTTCAAAATGGCCACCGGGTAAACAAAATGGCCGCCTGCTGTGTTTTTGCACGGATTCCTCGCTGCACAGGCAGTGAAAATGGTGGCGCTATGGAGGATCTTTGCTGGACGGTGAGTTTCAAGCCCCTAGGAATGCATTAATCTGGTTATAATGCGTTTCTATGGGCTTTTTAAAATCGCATTACAACGTTTTCATTCTACAGCGATTTCGCTGGAGCGAATTAACGTCGTAATGCAAGGCACCACTGTAATTCATAAGGGGACAATTTTACCCTGCCCTTGCAGCACACCTTAGACAGATTGCTATCAGAAGAACCTGTTTTAAGTTTTTTTTTTTGTTTAAAGTCCACAATGATCTTCATCAGCATGTTTTAAGAGTTCTGTTAACTCTTTCCACTCTTCTTGATGGTTGTGGCCTCCAGGCAGTATTTGTTTTAAGATCTTTGTTAGCTTATTTACAAAGTGTTTGCCCACATCTGAGTTTAACCCTTGGGATAATAAGAAAAACTCTTATTCTGCTTTCAATTTTTTTTTCCATAGTATACCTTAGCAAGAAAAAACTGCATTCCTCTGTGTTATTCTCAGCTGGAGGTGAGGAAGCAAAAAGAACTTGAAAATTCCTCATTGAGAGGCCTCATCCAGTCAAGACAAGCTGAACTGAGAATAAAGTACCATATTTTTCTGTGTATAAGACTATACTTTTGTCTAAAATCTTTAGACTAAAAATTGAGGGTCGTCTTATACACAGAAGTAAGCTGAGGAGAGAACAAAAACAAGTGGAGGGGAAAGCAAAGATCAAAGCGACCCTGCAGCGCTTTGATCCCTTTCCCCCTACACTTGCTAAGCCCCACTTAGATTTCTTAATTTTGGATTAGAAAAGTGTGGGTTGTCTTATACATGGGGGTGTCTTATATATGGAAAAATATGGTATGCATTGAGCTTCCTTTATGTTGCTCATATAGAGGAGAATGGTAGCAGTTAAACATACATTTCAATGCATGTGACCAGCACAGTCCTTCTTCCAGTTCCACAGATGGTGTTGTTATAAAGAGGGAATTGAAAATGTCTGGTTAGATGTGAATGGTATGTTTTTATTTCAGTTCCTCTTAGATCTGAACCACTGTGGAACATGGCACTATGGTAATACCACACAGCACAGTAATAATGAGTCTCATCTTCAGCCTGGACATTGCTGATGGTTAAATACCAAGTATTTCGAGAGCTCTCCTTGGAAGCAGAAAACCGGCTGAGGTCTCCAGAGCCAGGGATTCCACTGCTAGAGTAGAAGTAAATGAACCTCGGAGGATGTCCAGGTGTTTGCTGGTACCAGGACTGTGCATAGCTCTCCACTTGTCCACTGCTCATGGAACAGGAGAGTTTCACAGTCTGCCCGAGGGAGGCTGACACGGAAGGCTCCTGAGTCAAAACTGGTTGAGGACTGGACACTGGGGAAAGAAGAATAACATTGGCTTATATAGGTAGGTTCTCTGTTCAAGAGACCAGCTCAAAATAACCATTGCCTCATCAGCTCACCAGTACACCATGTTCCCAACAGGACAAGAAGGAAAGTCCCCATCATGGTGATGATGCCTCACACCTCTGAAGGATGCAGTTCCTGTAATACTGAAACTGTTGTTTCCTGCCCTTTATGTCCATTTCCTTTACAATACGATTTGCATGTCCGTGCCCCTCAGCCTACATCCAGACTCAAAGCTTTGCATCCTCATAAAGAATGTTACTTTTAGAGCTATAAAAGTAAGTCGTTTGCTGTACAGCTCTTCTTGGCTGCCCATCAGTTCCTCCGTTGACATGACTTATCACTGGCTCAGAGTGAAACCAACGTATGTTTGGACACAGTATTTCTTCAAGATGTGAAAAATGTCATCACTCAGGGTTCTCTTCATCTGTGTCTCTTCCATGTGAGACACTTTGTTCCAACCATGAGATATAAATGGTCATTTGAGGGTAAGCATAGCCTCCCTTCCCAAGCTTTTCTAGACAGAGAATACTTAAATGTAGTTTACCATTCCCTTCTTGAGTATTCCTTGGGACTCTGGAGCTTGGGTCCTCCCAGGAGGCACAGAGTGGAATCAAACTCCCAATGTCTTGCTCTGCAACCAAATACCCAACTCACTGAGCTATCCAGCTAGTTACAAATGTGCTTAAACCTAATTCACTACCCTCCGAACTAAATGTTACCCAACTCACTGAGCTATCCAGCTAGCTCCAAATGTGCTTAAACCTAATCACCACCCTCCGAACTAAATGTCGAGCCAACCAAGCTTATTATTTGGAAGTCCACACATTTATTAGCCTTCTGCAAACACAGTCTTACTTGTGCAAACAAATCCAGGTTCACAGTCCTTCTGCAGTCCTGGAAAGTCCATCCCCTTCATATTTGGTTCCTGTCATCCTGCATACATTCTGCATGAAACAAAATAGAAGACAAGCAACTGATGTGGGACAAAGGAGTGAGAACTGTCATGGGCGAAAGGGGTATTCTGTGGGGAAAATAACAACGTTGATCCCTTTGCAAAGCTTTGCGGAACTCCATCTTGCTCAGTGCCAAGAGCATTTGGCTTCCTCTGTGTTTGCTCTACAGTTCCTGCATCCAAACTGTAGAGCAAGAGGTCCCCCCTGGGGCTGGATATGTAACTAGTTATTCATTTCTAACATTTACCAGTTCTGTTCTACCTGAAGAATTTCCATGGGTTTCACAAAAAAGATGCATTCAAAAGACTGATGGAGGGCTCATATAACTCCGGCTACACAATTCACCTTATCTGTAGATCTCCTGTGGCTGGAAATGAGGAGTGCACGGCCAAAGAAAATATACTCAAGTTGCAGATTTGCTATCATTATGATGTGCAAAGAGTAGGATAGTGTGGGACGGAGGGGAAACGGTTAACCCTTCTAACCTTCCACCAGCAGTTTAGGCCAAGGAATGATTAGACCCTTCTCATTTGCTGACCAGTGTTTCTGAATAGAAGAGGGTTCCAAGGTTTCAACTAACTGACCACTTCTTCTACACAAATAGTTGATTTTAAATCACAAGAAGGTTTCTTGAACCTTAAAGGGAAACCAGCAAAACCAGGCAGCTGGACATGGGACAGATTGTATTTGTCCTCAGTGTGGAAGGGATGGTCACTCTCGAATTGGCCTCCTCGGCCACGCTGTTCCAAGTTCTCCATACAGAGCACGTTACCATATTGCATTAAATAATAAATTGACTACTGAACTTAAGATGCAAAGAGGGGAAGTAAGTTCAAATATTTTTTATCCTATTTGGGGTGGATTTGTTGAATTTGTATTAGTGAAATGAAAGGGGAAAGCCTCTAAATAACAATACAATTTTGGAAAGGAGGTTTGTATTAAAAGTATTGTTCCAAAGGGTCCTGTGGGTACGGGGGTGCACGGTGGTTTAGATCGTATTAGTAAGTATTTTGTATTTGTTTTTGTTTCGGAAATTTAAAAAATAAATTAAAAAGAAAAAAGAAAAGAACTAAAACTCCATAAAGGGGTGGCACTGTTGTTGTTTTTTGTCCTACAGCCAAAACCGGTCCATGTGTTTTTATTTAGTGGGAAATCAGCAGCCAATTCATTTGCAAGACCACTGCTCAGTCATGGGAAATTTGGGTAATTTAGCCCTTCTAAATTACCGGGACGTGGTGGCGCTGTGGGCTAAACCGCAGAAGCCTGTGCTGCAGGGTCAGAAGACCAAGCAGTCGTAAGATCGAATCCACGCGACGGAGTGAGCTCCTGTCGCCTGTCCCAGCTTCCACCAACCTAACGGTTCGAAAGCATGCAAATGCGAGTAGATAAATAGGTACCATCTCGGTGGGAAGGTAAACAGCGTTCCATGTCTAAATCACACTGGCCATGTGACCACGGAAAGATTGTCTTCGGACAAACGCTGGCTCTATGGCTTGAAGAGCGGGATGAGCGCCGCCCCCTAGAGTCGGACACGACTGGACAAAAATTGTCAAGGGGAACCTTTACCTAGCCCTTCTAAGAATGGTGTTTCCCCTTTATCAGTCATGGGAAATTTGGGTAATTTAGCCTTTCTAAGAATGGTGTTTCCCCTTTGAGGGCAGCATCTTGCCTTGGTCTGCCTGAAACTCCTTATGCCTTGATAAGAAGTTCCTCCAGTCTGTAACTTGATTGCATTTTCTTTGGCCATGCATTCTGTAACTCCCTACCATGCATGATGGAAGAAATGCATGGTAGAAATGCAACTTCTTTTGGCACTTTTCAACCCTACTTTCAGTTCACTGAGCAGATCCCTTCCCATAGAGAAAATATATATATATTTTGCTCCCATAGACTTTGAGAATCAACATTATTGGTCTCAGTTACACAAGCCCTGCAAGTGATGAAACCCTACTTTCAGTTCACTGAGCAGATCCCTTCCCATAGAAAATTATATATATTTTGCTCCCGTAGACTTTGAGAATCAACATTATTGGTCTCAGTTACACAAGCCCTGTCTTTCAAGTGATGAAAGCCGTATTTGTCATAGCACATACTTTTTCATCAGCTCCATATCTTGCACTAAGCATGCTTTGTTTTGTGATTACTCATTGCAAAGTAAATGTGGCCTTGGTTGGTCCTTGGAAAGAAAACAAACTCAAGTTGTAAGTATTGTCGTTCACTTGATGGAGGAGATACTGAGAAAAATAATATCCATTATAACATTTAGATTAACCCTCAAATGACAACTAGGTTTCTTTGTTCATTTTTGAATGCATGTGTGAAGAGTCAATGTGGGGAAAAAGTGTTTGGATAAGCACAGTAATGGAAGAATGTGAATGTCTGAGGCGAAGAAAGTGCTGCCTTTCCTTCAAGTAACCATCAAAATCTTTGAAACAGGAGTAAGAGGGAGTAAGCTGTTCATTCGTTGAAATGCTGCTTTCTTTTGGGTTTGCCTTGCCTTTGTTTTGTTTTTTAACTGGAAGTCCCTTCGTACTTGAAAAATGACATCTGAGTGTTGGAGCCAATTGTTACATAAAAATAATTGACATGGAGTTCTCACCCATCCATCCTTCCTAAGGAAACAGTATTAGTTGTTTTGAATAGTACTTCAACAGTTCTGTTAGAAACATTATGATGTTTGTGGCGATCAACCCTTTGTGGCCCCTATTTCTTTGGGCCCCACAAAGGACCATGCACCCTTTTCGCTGCCACCAGGTATTCTCCTAATACCAATTTATGTCCCACACGGGTGCTGCCAACCCTAAGGGTCATGTAACTTAGGAAGCAGGGATTTTAATTAAGTATTCTTTTATTATTGAACAAATCAAAAGGAAAATCACAATAGAACTGTTTCAGGTGTTAAAGCATATTGGATCATGTAGTCAATCACTTTTATTCTGAACTGTTCAATGCTTTAAATCAAAATCGCTCAGGTAATGTTTATACATTCATTCCTGCTTGTTCAGTGTGTTTTAAACTTCTCAATTTCCTCTCCTAACCCCTTTAGATCTATTCACTAACCTTCTCATTCGTTCTCCTAAACCCTAACTCCCTTTCCACATCTTCAACTGTCCCTAACACTCTCTATCTCTCCCACTGTCTAACTGTCTCTCCAATTCCTTAACTGTCACTCTAGCTCCGCCCCTCCTGCTCTATCCTTGACTCCTCCCCCTTAGCTGCTGTGATGGACAGGTAGGAATGACGTCACCTTTTCCACATTCCGCTACAGTGTTCCCTCCCCAGCCTCCAAAATATTAGGCATTCATTTGTTCTCATGGATATCCATCCCTCTATGGTTGCAACTTACATCTACCAGCTCATTGGAAATGATATGAAGGTGGGAAGGATTGCTTCTAAGCATTTTCCATTGAATGCTTCTTGCCACAGGCTGATTTTCTTACACAGAGAAATTAAACGCAAACGAGTAGATGCACAATGCTCTTTTCATAGAATCATAGAAGAGTGAAGTTGGAAGGGGCCTCCAGTGTTGCCTCCAGTGTTGAAATCAAACCAACTGCCAGGTTGCACCACCAACAAAAAGATATACAGTGGTGCCTTGCATAGCAATGGTAATCGGTGCAGCAAAAATCACTGCTAAGCGATTTTGTCACTATACGATTTAAAAAAGCCCATAGGAATGCATTGAAACCCCTTCAATGCAATCATATGGGCTTAAAACTGACTTTTAAGCGAAGATCCTCCATATGGCGGCCATTTTCGCTGCCTGGTAAGTGAGGAATCCGTCCCTGAACACAGTGGGCGGCCATTTTTTTTACCCGGTGGCCATTTTGGAACCGCCGATCACCTGGAGAAAATCATCGCTTTGCGGTAATCGGTAAACAAAACAGGGAACCGATCATCGCAAAGCGAAAAAAACCCATTCAGACCATCACAAAACGATCACAAAAGCGATCGCAAAATCTTCATCGCTATGCGATTTCGTCGTTAAACGGGGCACCCGTTAAGCGAGGCACCACTGTAAATAGATATAAACCAAACAACTGCTGGCACTCAAAGTAGGTCCCGAAGCAAATGGTAATAATAATAATAATAACACTTCTGGGGGGGAGGCTAAAACTTCTATCTGAGAAATTCTAATATGCAGACCCCAGGAAAAAAAAAGAATAATAGAATATAAACAAAGCAGCACAAAATACCCTCCCCACATTCCCACCACATCAAAAATAATCTCCACAAAGCATAAATGATAACTAATAAAAACTAAATAACTAAAATAGAAACCCAAATAGCAAATAGAAATACCTCCACCCAAGAGAAGACAACTGAATTATGGTTACTAACTTAGGGGGGAAACAAAACAAACACAAACGCATACACCTCAA